ATAATGAGATATAATTGTTTTTGGGGTATTATTATTGAGGGTGTTATGATCTAATGAGAGGAGAAGCCAGGTCTGGTAATAGCTACCTCCATATTATAGTATCATTTTCTTGTATTTCTTTCTTATTTTTCCTTTTCTTGTTCTTCTGTATGTCAGTTGTTACAGATTCACTTTCTGGTCCCAAAGATTCTAAGTTAGAAGGTGAGGTGTTTGTTTCTTGATTCAGATCTGAGGAATTATCTTTTGCTTTTTCAGCAAGGCAATTTCGTTTTAAAAAGTTTCCTTCTTCAATAACTATTTCTATAGAAGGAGTGGAGTCTTCCTCTTTTGGAGTTGTAGGTTGTGAGTTAGGTTCAGCCTGAGCTTGAGTATAAGGGTTGTTAGTACTAAGTTTTGGCTAGGTTTTATAACAGGTTTGATTCCTTTCTTTTTGTAGTCTTAATTCTTTGTAGTATGATCAGATTGCAATTGTATTTTTTAGCTCTTCACATTCTTTTTTTACATGACCTTTTTTTTCACAATAGTAGCACATTTTTGGAGCTTCCTTCCATTCAGTGCTAACTTTGTGATCACCAACATAAGTGGTTCTTAGTAGTCTTTGTAGAAAATCTGGATCTTCAGTTGTTTTGAAGGAAACAATCTACTGGTCAGAGCAGACTGAAGTACCTTCAAAGAGTAGAGGCTTGACAGAGGAGATAGTTCCAAAGTCTTGGAAGGTTTCTAGAAAAAGTTTGTTAGTCTGGTCTTTGTTTCCTAGTATGTATTTCTGACCTTGACTGATAGGAAACTTCTTTTTAGGTTAATAGGAATGTAATCAAAGATCGTTTGTTTAAAAATATTGATTCCTTCTGTTGTATAATGTTGCTGCTGTATTTCATTTTTGAAGACTACTTCTAGGTAGGCTCTTTTTTCTCTGCTAAAATATAGTTTAGCAGCTAGAAGATCTTCGCCAAGAGAATTTGCTAAAGAGAGAATGATATCATTTGTAGATATGTTATTAAGGCTTTGGATATCGAAGACTAGTGCATTTTTATTTTTAGAGAGAATCTTATTTTTTGGAGGCTCTTATTTGTATGTAGCCTTGCCACCTCTGAGTTTGGTAAACAGATCTGACTAGCGTTTTGGTTTGGGTTGTTCTTAGTTGTTAGCTTCTGAGTTATACGTAACCTCTGGTGGCTTAGATTTTAGTATGTTTTTATTATTTGAAATAATTGAATCGCTCATATGACTTTTGTTTACATCATGTTTCATGTGTTGTTTTGTTGTTTCTTTTACAGAAGAGGAGCTAGAGCTTTCATTGCTTTCATTTGAAGAGACTTCTGTGTAGTCAGTTTGCTTAGATTTATTCTTGTCAAAGATTTCTACTTCTACTTTGTCTGCCCAGTTATTATTATTCTTTTGCTCTAAGTTAGAGACATTTTTGTTGCTTAAGAGGCTTAGTAGGTTTTCTTTATCTTTTTCTTTTAGATATGAAAAGAAGTCAAAAATTTTTTTGTTGTTTGAGAGCTTAGTTCTTTTGTTTTTAGAGGCACTCATAGTACTCATTAGTAGTTTTCTTTTCCTAACTTTGGGAGCTTTAGCCCTGTTAGTATCTAAAAAAAGATTTTTTATCTGTTTTTTTGTTATTTTGTTATATTTGATCTCTCAACTGAGAGAAACAGAAGAGAGTACCGCTTGAAGATTTTGAATAATATACTTGCTTGATAATATTAAACAGATTATAACTAAATTTCATCAAATTGTTACAAAGGACATTGATCAGTTAGGAAAAACAGAAATAGTTAAACATAAAATTAAAACTGGAAATGCCTCTTCTATTTTTTTTTTTTTTTTTTTTTTTTCCATACTCTATTTTGATAGAGTTGGTTCTATAATTCATGTACAAGATTCAAAGCATGCAAAAAAAACTACACAAAATGCTATTATGTTAGGAGCACATCTCAAAACATTTGGGAAATCATCTATACAATTTCAATTTTGTTAAATCTTATAAGTAAATATGATTCAATAATATATAAAAATGATGTTATTAAGCTAGATCAGCAGGATGATAGTGCAGCATATCGAACATTCTACTCATCAAATTTTAGACAATGTTTTGGAAAAGATTATGAAGTTGAGTCGAATATGAAAGGATTCGCAATATATTTGTTTGTAATAGGTTAGTTTAAATTTCACATGTAATAAAATATATGAGATTTTTGCCTTGAAAATAACCTAATAGAACATAGTAATTACTATGCTCTATAAGGTCATTTACAAGACAAGATCTTATATATTATTGTTATAGAATATATATTAATTTATATTGTATTGTAGGAGAATTAATAGATAGCTATCTTAATCGCAATATTGCTCCTATTGAATGTATTCGTATAGTAATAACTGCTTATTTTTTTCTTAATTTGTAGAAATTTCATATTGAAACTTTAGCAAATAAGTATCTGGATTTTGTATCAATATGAACAAATTTTTTAGCATAACAAAGTTTTGCTATATTTACATTACTTGCAGAATTAATGGTATTGTTAGTAAAAGCATACTGTGAATTTTATCTGCAAATTCCGTTTTTACCTTGGTTTCATGATTCTGAATCCTATGAATATTTTTTTGGTATTGCTTGTCAAATTAATAATGATTTTGACTTTGCTAAATTGATACAAATAATTCTAAAAATTGGTCAATATAATAAGGTTTTACGGGATCAAAAATTAAATTATAATAAAGAAAAATCTATTAGACAAGGTAATTTGACTTTAACAAGTGTACTATAGAAAGTGCAGACATGACTATATACAGTTAGAGATAGGAATCAATTCTTAAAATTTTTAAAAACTTATAGTAAATCGATTTTTTAAAATCGAGTTTCTATAAGTTTTGAAAAATTTTGGGAATAACTCCTATCCCTATATACAATATATATATCTCTCTTTCCTTATTTTTTATGCTATATTATTAATATACAGTACTTTCTATAATCACCTTGTTAGAATTAAGGAATTTCTATAATTCTAGTTAAATATTATATACTGTATTATATTTACTTATTTTATAATTAAATATATATATTTGTTTAATAGGTTATCTTTTTGATTATAATGAAGGGCAATTAAATGACTTAGATTTGAAAAAATTAAAATTATAGTCTACAGACAAGCAAATTATTCAAACTATTCATCATTCACATCATTTAGCATATGAACTTTCAGAATTTCTTAGTATGATTTAATCTGCAGATTTGTCTATCAATAGAAATAATTTACTTATTATTAGCTCATATGAAGATTTAGTTTCAACTTCATCTAGTCATAATGATTCAAATTCAACTAATATTCAAGAAATTGACAATATTTCCTTTGCAATAAGCAATATATCAAAAGAAGTAGAACAAATTAGCAATAATTTGTTTAATGATAATGAAGATTTTTTAGCTAATAATATATTTCAAAATGGTCAAAAATATTTTAAAAGTATTAATTAATCTTTAGATCCTAGTTTATTATCAATTTTAAATAATGGAGATAGTAGTAAGTATTTATACTATATTTATCTTTACTTATTTGATTATTTTAAAATACTTTATAAGTTTTGAATATAGAATATATGATATATTATAGTTTTTTACTATATAAATTTTTTTTTATAAAATAGAGTTGAAGGGATCAACAGAAGTGCAAGCAAATTATGACCAAAGAAAATGTCAGAAGACAGAAGAAAGAAGGAATGGTTCTTGTTTAAAAAAGAAAAAAAGTTATACTTAGGC